CCCCCCCAAATCCCAAACGTGTGTTAAAATGCTCGTCAGCTTATAGACTAATTTGCTTTGGTGTACAAAATTCGGAATGCCCAGTTTAAAACCACTTTCACCAGCCCGTCCTTTTGGGAGTCCGTTCAAATGTCTTGTTATTTTCTCCGTGCCACAAAGAGTACACAAATGACCGGAACATCCCCGGTAGAATAAATTAAATTCACCTTTCAGAGAATAGAAAAATGTAAAAATTCAGCAGAAGGAAATCGAGACAGACCAGGTGCAGCAACAAACGACAGGCGAGACAGCCGTTAGAGACTCCAGGCTGTAAACAGATCACGGCTTGTGTGTCGTTCTTGATAAACCAAGCATGGCCTCCCGGATCTTGCCCCCCGCCCCGGGACAGGTTGGGGTCCGGCTAAACAGAGACGTGTCTTTTGTTTCGTTTTACAACGCTAAAAATCTAGTTTTTACTTTTTGAGAAGGCCAATTCAATAATCTTAGATTTAAACTTTTAAACTTTTAATTCTTTTCTTTTTCTTTTCAGAAGGCAGGTTCCACATTATGTAGTTCTTCTGCTCCTAAAACACCACCCTCTTCTAATTCTTTCTCATTCGTCCTGTCTTTCCCTTTCTTTCTGTCTGGTTGTCAGTCTCCTATCTGTCTGTCTGTCTGTCCGTCTGTCCGTCTGTCTGTCTGTCTGTCTGTCTGTCCGTCCGTCTGTCTGTTTGTCTGTCTCTCTCTCTCTTTCTCTCTCTCTCTTCTCTTCTCTCTCTCTCACTCCCTCTCTCTTCTGTACTCGACTCTTCTCTTCTCTACTCTTTAATTACTCTTCGTGGTCTTCGTTTCGAGAAAAAAAAGCTTCCAGTCCTGGGTCTTTTGGTTTTGGTTTTGCTTAAATGAAAGAGGTTATAAACGTTATGCTTTGTTTAAATTCATTCCTTTAACTCCGGTTTCATAATCTTTGTTTCATTTTGTCAAGTTAGAGCCTTTTATTCCTTATGATTTTTTTTTAATGAAGGCAGACAATTTGCTTGTGGCTAGAGACTACTTTGGTATCTGTTGTCGCAACTTGAAGCATTTGATTTTACGTGATAGTGAGGGGGCCGGGGGGGGGGTCACTTATAAGATGATTAACCCTTTCAACGCACAAGCGTGTCCATCTATGTTTGTGCAGACGATATAAAATGTTCATTCAAATTCAAGAGAGACTGAAACAAAGCCATGGTATTTTCCATTATTAAGAATAAACAACTGAACACATTGTAGTAGTAAAAATGACAAGAAGCAGTTTGGGAGATTACAAGCGAGTGCGGTAAAGAGGTTAATGTTGAAAAGATTTAATCTTTAAATCTTTAACCACGTCATACATTTGATACTGCTTTAGTGCAAGCAACGAATAGAGGATTTCTACTGTTTCCTAATACAAGCATAGTTTTAAACAAAAGGCTTGATTTGAAAAATAAAATTGAAAAAGAATATTATTCTTTCTTTCTTTCTCCCTTTTTTCCTTTCTTTTTATCTTTCTTTCTTTCTTTCTTTCTTTCTTTCTTTCTTTCTTTCTTTCTTTCTTTCTTTCTTTCTTTCTTTTACCTTTTTTCTTTCTCATTATTTCTTTGTTTCTTTCAATTTCATTCTCTCTCCTTTTGTCGTTCTTTATTTTTCTGTCTGTCTGTCTGTCTGTCTGTCTGTCTGTCTGTCTTGTCTGTCTTTCTTTCTTTTTTCTGTCTTTTTGTCTTTCTTTCTTTCTACCTTTCTTTCTTTCTACCTTTCTTTCTTTCTGCTTTTCAATCTTCTTTCTTTCTTCCTTTCTTCAATTCTATCTTTCTCCCTTGTGGCCACAAGTGATTGTAGGGATTATTCAATCTCATTATAGAACAGTCAGGGTATTTAACTCTGCGGGGAGAGAAGAATCGAGGCGTAAAATATACAGCCCTTCGGGACCCACGAAATTGACTGTTATAGATGGTCGGGCCACCTTTATCGACCCATCCTTCGTCTGTTACGGGCTTCGATTACCATTAAAATGAAAAAAAATAGAGAGAGATCAATAGAATTCACCATCATCCAGACGAAATCAAAGCTATGAATAATTTGCAAGGGAATGTATACTGAAAGAAAGAGTAAGTTGCCTGATCTTATTGTGGTCAAGGTTGTTGTTGTTGTTGCTGTTGTTGTTTTTGTTATTATTGTTGTTGTGGTCGTCGTCGTGTTGTTATTGTTGTTGCTGTTGTTGTTGTTGTTGTTGTTTTTCGCACAATGTAATTGTCAATAATGATCTCCTCAGGTTCGTATGATAGGCTTCACAGAGGAAATGCCATAGATGCCCTGTACTTTCGTCCCACTTCCTTTAAAAATAGTTTTGGGGGAAACTTGAAGCGGTGAAAGTCGAAGATAAAAGAACTCTACTTTCAGCATGCTTTCGGGATATAATGTGTGGAGATTTATGCCAAAAACGTGTATTATATCCTTTTTGTCTCTCTTTCAGTGATCTCTGAGTAGGTGTGTTTCTTCTCGACTACTGGAGGTTACGGAGCATGCATACACCTGTGCTATAGAAGAATACATAAAATTACATGCCAGCTTTCTGGGCGTTTTAAAGGAAACTTAAACGTTTTTCATGGATTATACTGCGTGTGCATCTAAGTGTTTCTATGTGAGCTGTAACAACTAATGAGAAGTTTGAAGTGTTTAGACAGTGCCAAGGAACACCTGTCCCGAGAACAATAACGACTATAGCAGTCTGTTCATAGAGTTTGCGAGGGTAAAAATAAAGTATAGAAGAAGACTTACCTCACACCCTACCCAACTTTGAACCACAGGTACCGTCGTTGTGGTCAAAGACATGCATATGGCGCTCACATGACAAAATTGTGTAGTTAGTGCCGTAAAACATATACTTAAACAACCAAATAAACAAACAAACAAACAAAAGACATGCACTGGATGGAGACACAACCATGTCCTGGATTACTCACGGCCTGACCCTACTCAATCCGGAGATTTTCTGTGCCTGGACTTTGCTCTCGCTGCTGCTGCACACCCTCGCCCTGAGTGGCATGGAGGTGGAGGCTGGTGAGTACATGATAACATGCACGGGGGGGGGGGGGGGGGGGGGG